GTACCTCCTCCAATGTAATTCTTTTGATAGCTGCATCACTCCACATTCCTGTCCTGATATAATTATTGTTCTACCTCCTCCAGTGTTGTTCCTTTGTCAGCTGCATCACTCCACATTTGGAGGAGGTACAACAATAATTATATCAGGACAGGGTGTTGTTCCTTTGTCAGCTGCATCACTCCACATTCCTTTACAAACTTTTTGTGAAGATATTCTAGAATTTAAGTAATCACCTGGTAAACAACTCCACAATGTATGCCTTGGGCAGGTTACATACACTTGACTCATTCTACTTGCATGTTTGGGCTCTTATTTGGCCCATGTCCAGTGCTAGGAACGTTTACAGTACCCCGAGTCGGACAATATAAGTGACAAGATGACTTCCCACTGACTGTAAAACGAATGTGACCTTTAATATGTGAAATACAACTTATTAAATATTCTCCAGACTAAAAAAATCCTGTTTGTCGTGGCCAGGTTAACATGTTATTGAGAAAATGGCCAGTGTATGTATATACAACAAAAATTGTGTTATTTTTGTTATCTTACTGTATCCAGTCTTTTATTTTACTAGATTGAGTTTAATATATTCTCTTGAAAACATTAATCTTCAGTTGTTCTGTAATCTCTAGACTTCAAAGATAATCCTTTGGTAATTGTTGTACCTGAACTAATGCTCTGGCTGAGAATTATAATTAGTGTCAAGTGTTTTTTTTTGTTTGCTCTTACATACTCGTTAAGATTGTAATATACAGATTAAGTGCTTCATATTAACTGTTTAGGAGACTTATCACAGCATTACACTCTGGGTTGCCACATCCAGTCATGCTCTATCTGATGACTGTTTAGGAGCCTTATCACAGCATTACAGTCCGGGTTGCCACATCCAGTCATGTTTTATCTGGTGATTGTGCCTCTTGACAGTAACCCTACAGTGTAGTTTCTATTTCAAAGGCATTGTCATAAGGCTTTCATGGCCAAAGCACACCACTCCTCCCTACAGGTTTACCATAAACCATCTAGTATATGAGAACAACAGTTTCTCAGCACCTGTTTCAACAGTCTGATTGCTCAAAAGTCCATAGACACTTCATCTTGTGGCTTGATCAGTATGTCTTTTTATGGAATACCCATTTTATTCCCCAACTGCTTGATGTATGTGGTGCTTGAAAGGATTGATTTTTCTTTACCAGTGCCCTTAAATATAAGGGATATCTCCATTTTGGAAATTCCAAGGCCCCCAATTAGATCACATCTTTATGATTTGAGTGTTTGTGTTGGAAAGAGATGTCATACTTCTGATAAAAGTGGTCAGTTTTTTGTGGCATCACTCTACATAAAAACACCAAACAGTGTCAAAATGTACTTCTGATACATGCTGTTCCACCATGACTTTACATTGACTGTGGTTATCACATGACTCGTTGATAATGATCATGGAAGATGACTTCCTAAAACGACTTATTGTCTAATCTGTTATAGAATTTCATGAACAACATGATTTATGTAGATCATGTGACTTAGTATCAGTTACAAGGAAAACTGTGTTCACAGCTTGTTTGTTGTTATTGTTTTTTCTTTCAGAAAGTTTGTTGGATGACAGGTATTATTCAACAAAATTTCTATGTTTCAGATGATGCAGGAAAAGCTGGACCAGATATGCGAGATGGTGGCAGTGATGAGAAAAGCTGTTGATGTCGATGAAGTTGCAGATATTAAAAGTAAAGAGTTGTTGGCTCAGCTACAGACAGAGAACAAAGTTTTGAAAGAACTTGTATATCTGAGCAAGTCAGCTGGTTCACTGTCAAATCTTTTACTGGAAACTGTAGATGAAGAAGTTCAGACTGACTCTTGACATCCTTCGCATAGAAATGAAATGAAATGAAGAAAATAAGGCTTACAGAATAGTCTGCTTTAATAAGATACACAAATAATCATGATCAGCTTTTTTAAATCCCAACATTAATTGTTGGAAGGAACAACAGATTTTTACTTTATCATGTTAAAAATATTATACATTGTTCCATTAGGAGAGAAAAAAATACCTAACCAACGGGTACATGTTTACCACGTAGAATGGAAGTGAACTGATACACCTTGTTCATTAGTGTCTGATAACTTTTATCATTTTCAAATAAAATCATTCAAAA